CTCCTCCCCGCGGCCGGCGACGACCGGGGGCACAGCAGGCACACCGCACACGTCCACGGAAAGGGAAGGAAAAGGCCAGGAAACGGCCGCCCCCGCCTTGTCGCTCGCGCGGCTGACGGGTGGGCCCGTTGGTATCTTGCTCTTGTCGACGGAGCGGGTGGTGGTCCCCTGTCGGTACGCGGTCAGTGTCGCTGACATGGTGGGGTAGGCCTGGCCGCTGGTGTCAGGACAGGAGGGAGGACTCGAGGACGGCGACACGGGCTGTCAGCCGTGCAGGAGCCGGTGGTAAAAAACGGATGGGTCCGGGCACAATTTTTCAACGGACCGAACCGTGGACACGTGATGTGACCCGTGAGATTAACAATGCGATTATACACATACAGTACCAAGTCTGGTTATGAGTGACAAAATTCCTCGTTATTTTGATTATATATATATATATATATATTAACTTCTTACTAAATGGTTTACTATAACGTTATGGTAAATATTCCCATATGTTATACTAACCCAACTATCGTAAATATGTATTAACATTATCGTAAATTATTATATAAAATTATTGTAAATGGAGGTGGCTACAGAATAACTTATTTTGTAGCTGGCTACTAAATATACTCTTATATATATATATATAGTTTTTTTAAACCATGACTTTAGAGGAGATGTGCTGGCTCAGTTGAACCCTGGGAGAGAAGGATGAACGATTTGTTTGCATGAGACTGTTGGCACTAGTACTTGATTTTCTTGAACGAACAGCCGAGTAAAGAGTAACATGGCCTATGAAAGCTTGCTTTAAGTAGGCAACTATTCATTCTCTTTTATACTACGCTACGCCCTAGTTATCATTTTTTATGAATTCATTCCAATATCGAAGAAAGCGGTCCATAGGGCAGTGAGCGGGATAAAATGAAACAATGGAAGAAAGAAGAGGCTTAGTAGCCAGCTATAAAAATAAGTTATTCTGTAGCCACCTCCATTTACGATAGTTTTATATACTAATTTACGATAATGTCAATACATATTTACGATAATTGGGTTAGTATAACATATGAGGATATTTACCATAACGTTATAGTAAACCACTTAGTAAGGAGGTACTATAATCTCGTAAATTAATATAGTAATTAGCGTAACTCAAAGTGACTATCGAATAATTTATTTTGTAGCTAGCTACAGCCTACATGGTATATATATATATGGTGGTAATTTTTCCAACAACGCACTAGTCCCAGTGCCAAAATTTTCTTGTTCCAAGCTTACTTTGATAAAACTTTTATTTTAGATCCTTTCTAGCAGTGTCAATCTGTCGATCCATTGACTGAGAAGGACCATAAGTTTTTTTTAATAATTGTCGACAAAAAAAACTATTGTGCAAGTCTTTTCGAGGGACATACACATACTAGCTCTGGTTCTAGGCGACTTTGTGCCAGTGAGGTTGGAGGCATGCCGCAGGTTGGAGAATATGACTGCATCTAGATAGCATTTTATTTCTATAATAGATTTTTAGTCCAAATAGTTGCGGCGTGATATTCGTAATAAGGTGGTATGATTCCTCTACTTAGAGTATGAAGCCCGGATAAAATCTTCTATTATCTTAAAGAAAGTTTACTTTGGATTAGTGTGCTCTCGCTTTCTATCTTGTGTCTCGTCTAGGAAGATCAGTCTGGTCAGCACGAACCAGCCACTGTCTGGCTGACCACCATAGCTTCACCATTACAGCAACGACTTCTTTTTTCTTGGTGTTTGAATTCCAGAGTGAGGGTTTCCGGCCTCAAGTGGTGGCATAACAACCTCGTAGGGGCTCCTACTACAACAACAAGCAGCACAACATAGATGTGAATCTGTGATCCCAAATCTCAGAGGGTATGTAATATGTGTGAAGACCAAGATAGCTTCTGCTATGGGTTATGTGTGATGCAAATCTTTGGAGATCTCGGTTACCAAAGAAGGATAGGGAGGTAGCTGATGTTTGGTGCCAACTCTTGTTACCTTTATGTAATCAGTAAATTGTAAATGACGACGATGTAACTCTTCAAACAGATGGGCTCCTTGAGCCTAGATCAATTATAAGAAAAACCAGGTGGGGAGCCTTTCCCCCCTCATTGACAGTCAAAAAAAGTGGGTTATGTGTGATGCCTAATCATTCTATATACTAATATCATTTTGTAGTTTGAGCATATGTCCAAGGGTCCATAGCTCAGTGGTAGAGCAATTGACTGCAGATCAATAGGTCACCGGTTCGAACCCGGTTGGGCCCTTGATGGACTATTGCTTTTTAATTAAATATTAAATAAATTGTTCTAAAAACATTTTTTTTGGATCCATAATGGTTTTCTTTCCTTTTCTTCTCTCAAACAAAAGGAGACTAACTTAGTAAATGCCAGGTCGTGCACCCATCCCATCAAAGTAGTTTTACTTTTATATTTATTGTATTTGATTTGATACTACATTTCAACTTACGCTTGAGCAACGCCATCATCTCAGTACTTGGGATAAAAAGTACTCCCTGTACTCAAGTATAGCTGAGTTTTTTTTTTACATAAAAGTGTAGGTACACCTGAGGTTTTAGACGTGAAAAAGGAGGTTGTAGCTAGCGCATTTCTTTGTCTGAAACATCAAGAAAACCATGGTGGTGGTAATATATATGTAACGTAGGAAATCATGGTGTCTCAGTATGCACGTCAGTATGCACGTGGATGTGACCCAACTATGGCTAAACTAGTGATCTATTTATCATTCAAAAGAGTTTTGCGACATAATATAGCTAAATTTTATAAGATATCCTACGAACTACTCAAGGTAACAGTAAAAGCACTCAAAACAAGCAATCTGACATAAAATGTGTTAAATAGAGGAGGTGAGTTTGAAGGCAAATTCCCTGCATGGGATGCGCTAAGTATCCATTTTCATCGATTGGCAAATGACACCCCTAGTCCACGTTAATGCTCCAAAGGTCGTCATTCGGTCACAAAGGGCGTGTTTGTTTCCCTGGCCCACGGTGGCCCGTTCATCCCAACCTAGCCAGGCCAGGGTGAGGCAGCCCATAGTGGTGCAACTCTAGGTGTTTGTTTTGGTGGCCCAAGAAGAGGCCGGCTGTGGGTGGGATGTTGTTTGTTTGCCTGGCCCAAGTGGCAAATATCCCCAACTAACATCAACTTCCCAAATAGGAAGGTGTTTGTTTGCCTGAACGGCTGGTGGCGCGACAGCAACTGCTAGCAACCACCACCAGCGCCAGCAACAACCACTGCAGCAAGGAAATAGCAAGGAAAATTGACAAGTCTTAACACAACCTTAACTAAACAATTAACTAGCAGTTCCAACAATACAAACACAACATATTTGAGGTCTAAACTTGACACTTACAACAAGTACATAATCTCAGCTTGATCCACAAGTAGAACACATAAATGAGCAGTCCAACAACTAAAACAGTCTTCAGTGACAAGGATGGAGGAGGAGGGGTTGGTTTAGGAGAGGACAAGCCATCAGCAGCACACAAGAGGAAGTTTGAGTTGTTTCTTGAGTTGAATGCAGCCTGAGCATCATCATAGGACTTGTACTTCTTGTAGGAATTCCCACGGTACCCATTCACCTGATCATGGCTCTCAACCCAACTGGAGTAAACTCCAGGCTTATGACCATTGAAAACCACATACCATGGACTCATCTGAGTTCTGCAGAAAGTAACAAGCTTCCTCAATTTATGTTATAGATCAAACCAAATGAGCAAATGAGCGTAAACATCATTGGTAGCAGAGTAGCATAGGCCTCAGTCATGTGGTTGATGGCCACAGACCACCAGTTCACTTCTTGTGGCTTCTACAGGTGAGTAACCAAACAAGAATTTGGTTTAGGCACTAGGAGAAGATGCAAGAAGCAAAGTACATGGCCTGCATCCTAATCCATCCAACATGTAAGACATCACTGGCATAGCAAAATGTTGGCCTCAGATTTCTTTAAATTCATATAACATTGGTATAGAATCATTGGTGGCACTAATTAAGTCATATAAAAGATCAAGGCAAAAAAGAATCAAGCATTGGGCAATAAGACTCAAGCACTGGACAATATAAACTCAAGCACTGGATAATACCAAAAGGGTGTGTTTGTTTGCCTGGACATAGCAGTTAGTAGTTAGCAGCCATCAGACACCCCAGGTTGCAGCATAGAAAGGGAAAGCAAAAACAACAGAATCAAAAGAAGACAGTGCCATCTCATCATAGTATATCATCATCATAGCCTTACCCAAATCCTCACCTTCACAACCCAATTAACAAGTCCAAAAACCTGGTCAGTCCTACTCAATGGTTGCAAAGCATGTGGCACGCCCATCCTCAGCTACCAACATGATGAAAGATGAGCATATCATGATGCTAATTGGGAATGGACGTGTCACATGGTGTTTCAAACCATGAAACAGAAGCAAAACAGCAAAGGATGACAGAAAGTGATTAGTAGTGGTGAATGGTTGCACATCATGAGATGCACCCATCCCTAGCTAGCCACATGATGAAACATCACCACATCGGGTAGTTAGTTGGGTATGGATGTATCCCATGGTGTGGCAAACCAGCCACCCAAAAGCAAACTACAAACAGAATAAATAGACAACTCATGCATAAATAGTTCCAACCATTCATGTCCATCACAACCCTTACTAGATCAAGTACCAGTAGCCTCAGCTGCCATCACCACAAGCAAATACTACATAAATATGGTTAGCCACCCCGCAAATGAGCAACCAAAATACCCCAAAAGGTCAGGTGCTGTCAGTCAAGCTACCTTGCTGCACAAAAGGACCTATGTCACTGCATAAAAGATGAGGGAAGGATAGTGGTTAAGAAGGGTGGAGAACATATAAGGGTTCTCAACTGCTTCCCTCCTCTAGCTTGTTGTAGAGGTAGAGTGCAAGCATCCTAGATGTAGTAATGCTTGGCTACGAATTTCCTAAGCCAGATAACCCTATGGATGTCCACCATATCCACAAAACCCTTACCCTATGCCTTGTTGTCTAGAAGGTGGCTGAATGCCACAATCAAGGCCTCCTCTGTGAATTCAGGCATGTCCATCACAGCATGGTAAAGGTCAGCATCAACATGAGCAGGCCCTGTCTCCCTCAAAGCATTAGCCACATTGTTGACTACATCAGTCATGTTGGTCATGATCAACATCTCATCCTCACTAAAGCAAGCCCTCTTCCACTTCCCACCCACTACAGAGCTGTTAGGCTCAGTGGCCTTGCTGCTCTCCCCATGGTTAGCCTTCTCATCCCCCAGCTGCTGGTGCCCAAATGTGCCCTCCATCTTGCCTGCTGCAATGTCAGTGGTGTTGCTGCTCACCCCCAGGGGCTCATTTGACCCAACAGCAAACCTCCTAGTTGCACAGGCGCTTCCAAAGATGGTCTCCATCTCATCATAGAACCTGATAGGGGTGTTCAGGTACTCAACATCCTTAGGGTGGTCCTGCATCAACACATAAAACACAGTAGCATGTTAGTGATCAAGGTAAATAAACAATAGGACAAAAAACAAATAATTAACTACACCCCAGCATTTACCTTCACATGACCAGCATAGTGGTCCTGATCCAACATGATGGCCTTGGTGTCATCATCCCAAAGTGCCCCACTAAGCTCCTTGAGCTTGCAAACCCTCCCCCATCTCTGCCTCCACTTCCTCAGGTGGTTATACACCTGAGTGGCAGTCACCTCCTCACCAGAATACTTGCTCAATGCCTTAGCAACCTAGTTGATGTCCCTTCCCTTGAACCCCTTGTCTGCCCTAGCACCAAAAAGGATGAGCTGCCTCATCCTACGCAGCACAAAACCACTGGTGTTGTTAGTCCACCTCATGGGTGTCCTAACACAAGCATGAGCCCTACTAGCACCACCCCCACCAGCATTGATAGCACCAGCAGCCCCATTAGCACCAGCAGCAGGCAGAGGTTGCACATTAGCAACAACAATAGTAGGAGGAGCCCCACCAGTAGGGGCAGCAGAAGCAGCCATCCCAAACCCAGGAACTAGTGAGGCAGCACTGACAAACCCCTCACCATCATTGGCATTGACAGAAGACATCCTAGGTAGTGCAGCAAGATAGCATTTAACTAACACATACACCATCATCATCACATAGCAGCATTGAATCATATGAACCAAGAAGATAGGCAATACCAAAGCATTAGTCTCAGCATAGCCCATGAAATAAATAATAAGTCATACACATAGTTCAATAGTACCATACAGTGGTAGCCTGAGTTATATTACAAAGTTGTTACAAAAAGTGGTTCAAGTCCTAGAAGTGCCCCTATTGGCCCACATGTTAGCAGAGATAGCATCTCTCCTAGCTACCATCCCACTGCTCTCTTGGGACTACAAGTGATTCACAGGTTGGCTGTCTATAACAACATGGGGATTGGCTACCCAAGCCTCGCGCGCACCCTCTGACAAATCGGAACACCCTCTGGCGAGCCGGGACATCCCCCGGGCGATTCTACCCGAATCACCCGGGGGCTCAGGGGCTACTGTCGGGGACCTAATACTGGGATACCCAATGAGGTAGAGTTGATAAACAGCGTTGACACTTCCAAACGGATAGGAGCGCAATGACGCCTCTCGCCCAAGACCAGGGGAGATCGACTCCACCTCGCCCGACCCCCGAGGGGCCAGACTCCGCCTCGCCCGACCCTCGAGGGCCAGGCTCTGTCTCATCTGACCCCTAAGGACCAGACTCCACCTTGCCCGACCCCCGAGGGCTAGACTCTGCCTCGTCCGACCCCCGAGGGCCAGACCCCGCCTCGTCTGACCCCCGAGGGCCAGACTCCGCCTCGCCCGACATCTGGGAGCTGGCTCCGCCCCGTCCGATGTTCGAGGGCGGGCTCCGCCCCATCCAACGACCAAGGGCCAGCCTCGCTCGCCTGGCCGACAAGGGCTGAACATCGCCCCACCTGATGCCCTCGCCCTGCCCCTCCATGATGGCAGGAACAGGGTAAGACGGGACGTTAGAGTCACGGAAGCAAGGATCATGCCCTGTGCCACTAACAAGTACCATCGAGGTACGAAGGGACGGGCGCTTTAGGCCCTGCCAGACATGACAGAGCCCGAACAGTGCTGTAGGCGTCGGGTTTTTCGGCCTACAGTATTGTGGGCGCCGCCTTCAACCCTCGGGCATGGAGCCCGACACAAACACCGCTATGAGACTCACGTCCCTGTAGCGACAAGCGTGCGGGCGCCGCACCGCTCGCCCCCCATAGTGTCGCAGGCCGACACCCCTGTCCGACATGCCGCCCGCAGGGGCAGGATGGGACATAACCAGTGGCAGATCAATTGCAGACACAGCGTCGTCAGCATGCAGCACCCGATGAACGTGCCAAACCCTGACACCGCCTGACCGTATCAAGCAGGGCTGGCTCGGAAGGAGAAGGGGGGCCCAGCACTCTCATAGGGTTCCCCAGTTTCTGGTTTTCCCTTTTCTCCACTATGTAAGCCCTGCTCCCCTTGATCTATAAAAGGTGGGGCAGGGCACCCCGTCCAGAGGGAGGCGAACAAGCACAAGACCCAGTTCAACACCGACACAACACATCACACACACAGCCAAGCAGCGACCAGGCTCTTGGCATCCTTTCCATCAGAGACTTGGGACCAGTCCCTCTCTCGACCGTTTGTACCCCCTACTACGAACCATATTCGGTGCTAATAATACAAGCAGCAGCAGACTGGACGTTGGGACATTCAGCTCGAACCAGTATAAACCTTGTGTCCTTTAGCGCACCATCCGGGCCTAACGCGCATCAATTATAAATCTACTCGTCGGTGTTTGTTCGAAACACCGACAGTTTGAGAAGAATATAGCCGATTTGGTCCAAGACATTGATCCAATGCATAGAGTCTTCTTGGCCATCAAGGGTAATCCATTCCCAGCTCTTTCCAGAGTCTTGTCTCCCTTTTCTATCTTTGAAGATCAGGTCCTAATGGTAAAACAGGCTCAGAGGAATCTATTTGATCGTGAAACTTTATTGGCCAAGGGAAACTCTAACAGGCAAGAGGCTAAAGAACTGTCATAGTCGATTGATCACTTGAAGAACTCTTCCCTCAGTATTGACCTAGAATTGTATCAACTGGAAGCCAGGCATGCAAAACTTGAGAAGGAGCTAGAAAATGTGAAGGCTGCCATTGATCATCATAAGTCCACCCTGGCTCAAATACCTGATGCCATTCAATAAAAGAAACAGAAACTGATGGCCAAAGTTAGAGAGGGCAGAGCCATTCGAAGTAGCCTCAAGAGCATTCCTGTATCAGCAGAAGAAGATAAACAACATATCATAGAAGCTGATGCTATTCGGCTAGAAGTGTTGAAAGCGATCTAGGATGTTCTAGACTTGTAATTCGTGTATCAATGTATGTCTTGCGTAGAACCAATGGCCTCACTGTGTTTCTCTTTGTTTTGGCTAAAGAGCCAATTTTGAAAATAAGTGATTCCAGACTCCTGATCTTAATCCCTTGTAGGTCTGAAAACATGGCCTTTATTAAGAGAACCCTTCGATCTTCTGTCTTTAGTCACCCGATGCCGTATTCTCTTCGGTATTAGTGAGGTGGCGCTTCGCCTTCTATTAATTGCGGTTGTCTTTCGCACGTCCCGAGGCATCCACCTCTTCGCTTCGTGGCTTCAAATACCGGTCGAGGGCTCTAGCCTCGAACACATCTACACTTGCAACCGCTCCTGTTCCTTTGCACTCTTCCACCCCTGCATACTCTGTAGCGGCCTTCCTCCCTTCCTGTAGATCCGATCAACTTCATGGCTGGCGAGGAGAACCACGGCAAGCGCACGGCGGAGGAGATTCTAGAGGAAAACATGCCGGTGAATCAGCACCTCCGATGCATGAGGTGAGATCCACATCTTCTGCTTGTGACGACAAACTATTCTGATTTGTCTACATATTCGTTTTAAATGACAGTCTCTGTCCCCTCCCTAGGGCTGGCAAGCCCTCTAACGATGCATCTTTCATGCCGACTTCGTTGTCGGATTCTTCTAACTTGTATAACGACGATGATGCTCGACGCTTCTTTCGAGAATGGAGGGCAGCCGAGGACCGCTATTCTGAGGCAATTCAAAACAATGGCCAGCTTGAGATCCGTCTCGGGGTCTTCCAAGCGGCCCTTAATGCAGCCGAGGAGGAGGCCAGCGCCGTTCGAGCATGGCTGGTCGAGTCTGACATCGCAGTGGCGGGTAAGATGAGTTCCATGAATGCTTCTATTCTGATTTCCACTGTCTTTATCTTGATAGTTCTTCTGTTTTCTATAATCATCAGCCTTGATAGTGCAGTTGGAGTCCCTCCAACTGGCGACGAACGCGGCCGCGGACGCCATCAATGCTCAGGGTTCACTCGTTAATGCTCGTCTCCAAGACATCTCAGCCCACGTTCAGGAGATCGCCCTCCATGGTGTTCGTCATGGCACGTCGGTGGCGCTGACTATGGCGCAAGTCCAGACTGGGTACGAGCTCCACGCCATGGAGACCGGTTTCCCAATGGGCGACGACCCTGAGGAACATGAGGACCTGCTTGAAGAATTCGCTGTTGCAGCGGAGGCCACTGTGGACATCACATCTTGATGAGGACATGACGGAAGATCGGGACCCTCGTCCCCATTAAGTGGTATCAGAGCTTCAGGTATTACCGTCAGGTTTATCATTACCCTAGTTTTGTTTTGTCTTTGTCCTATAAATCCAGAAAATTGCCCCACAAAAATATTTGTGTTAATCTTTGTTTTCTCCCTATCCTATCACCCGTTGTGCCGTTGCAATATTTTAATTTCAGTTTGCTTTATTGAATGGTCGTCCCTCGCGTGTCCTCATGTTCGTTGGTTTATTTGAGTCTTGATCTAGTATCCTTGTTGTCGTGTGAATCTGATCGTCGGGTGGTTGTGCATTTATAATTCTATTAGCCTAGCTTTGAGCATATCAAGTTGTGTGTTCAAATAATTTGTATTGCAGCGTTCTTCTGAGAAACAAAAGAAAGGAAAGCAAAAGGCATTAGGTGCACAAAAAAGAAAAAGAGAAAAAAAGCCGCACCAAAAAAAAGAGAAAGAACAAGAAAAAATAGAAAGTGGGGAAAAAGTGAAGAAAAATTCAGAAGTGCTTGTATTCTTTTGAGTCTTTGTGCTGAGTTATATTGTAGCTTGCTTGAACTAGATCCAGGACGAGTTTAGGCCGGCGACATAGATTAGCTTGGGACTACTTTTCAATCTTGCAATTTCTAAATTAAATTATTGGTATTCCTTGCTACCATATTTTAAGCCTCCCAAGCTCCACATATATACTTCAGATCAGTACAGAAAAAGGTCCTTGCAATCTCGGTACCACTGCCTCACAGGTATCACGAACCAGCCGCCGGTTGTACCGTCCACTGCTTGCGTTGGTAAGAACTTTGTAAGAGCTTGGTAAGACGCTTCCACTTGCTGTGAAAAGTGACACCACTGCAACCACGTAGTCATTTGATAGGGATAATACTTTTGTGTTGTCTTTTGCTGTCTTCTAATAATGATAGGTTGTTCGTATCCACTGACTTATGATGGTATAGGTGCTGATGAGTACATGGAGTGGGAAATTGCCATCGACAACATATTTGCTACTCGCTTTATGTGTCCAAGGAGGAAGGTAAAAAATGCAGCTAGTGTTTTGCGATATTCTGCTTTATCTTGGTGGGAGTCTTTAGATCCTTCTGATAAACCTCAAACTTGGAATGATATGAAACTTCTTATGTGAGAAACCTTTGTTAATCCACCTCCTGTTTTGATTTCATATGATGAAGTGCACCATTTAGAGGAAGAGTCTGTTGTTATTCCTCTTGCTATGACTAACCTTCTGCAGGATAATGTCCATAAGCGAGAGGATGACATGGAAGAAAATGAGGAGCTCACAACCTCATATGCAAATTCAGAACCATCACTTCACAATGCACCTATTACTCCTGCTCCTGCTGAGAACGCAGGTAATGCCCATGGTGCTACACTCATAGAAGGTGAAAATTGTCTTAATGTACTAAATTTTTCCACAAGTCATGCTATCATAGAGCAATTGT